GTGTGCTATCCAATTCGTCGTGGGCTTGCCTCAGTAACGCCCAATGGAGATCCAGGTGCCTTTGTAGGGCTGGGGTGACAGTTGGCGCGTTCGAGGCTAATGTTAATGATGACTCCAATTCGTTGCATCTTCTCTGCAACTGTCGGATCACCGTGTCAATTGCGGAATCTCCTTTGACTTGATCTCTTGTTGTGAGCTTGATGTTGGCCGAAGTTCGTCTGGGGGCCTTCGGAAGCCCGCTTCCAGTCGGCATGTTGTCCAGAAAGATATTCTGATATTTTTCGACCAACTCTTTAAGTGCTTCCAGTCGTGAAGAGTACTCACTTCCAGTGGGTAGTGCCGCTTGCTGGACTTCTTCATCTAGGTCGCAAAACTGCCGCCAGAGATCGTTTAACTGATTTAGCTTACCGGAATAATAGCCGTCTCGGTGGCGTCGGTCGGCAGAATCCTTGCCATAATTCTTAATGAGCTGTTGGATTTTTCCTTGCAGCTCGTTTTGGGTGTCTAGTAATCGATTGTGTAAATCGATTCTTGTGTGACTTGTTTCCTCAATGAATGAAGTAGACATATTGTGTGTCTTGGAAACAAAGAATCTTGTGAAGCTGGATGAAGCTGAGTATCCTGTGAAGCTGGATGAAGCTGAGTATCCTGTGAAGCTGGATGAAGCTGAAGTTCCTGTGACGCTGGAAGAAGAAGCGAATCCTGTGAAGCTGGATTAAGCTGAGTTCCTGTGACGCTGGAAGAAGAAGCGAATCCTGTGAAGCTGGATTAAGCTGAAGTTCCTGTGACGCTGGAAGAAGAAGCGAATCCTGTGAAGCTGGATAAAGCTGAAGTTCCTGTGACGCTGGAAGAAGAAGCGTATCCTGTGAAGCTGGATTAAGCTGAAGTTCCTGTGACGCTGGAAGAAGAAGCGAATCCTGTGAAGCTGGATTAAGCTGAGTTCCTGTGACGCTGGAAGAAGAAGCGAATCCTGTGAAGCTGGATTAAGCTGAAGTTCCTGTGACGCTGGAAGAAGAAGCGAATCCTGTGAAGCTGGATAAAGCTGAAGTTCCTGTGACGCTGGAAGAAGAAGCGTATCCTGTGAAGCTGGATTAAGCTAAAGTTCCTGTGACGCTGGAAGAAGAAGCGTATCCTGTGAAGCTGGATTAAGCTGTAGTTCCTGTGACGCTGGAAGAAGAAGCGTATCCTGTGAAGCTGGATTAAGCTGAAGTTCCTGTGACGCTGGAAGAAGAAGCGTATCCTGTGAAGCTGGATTAAGCTGAAGTTCCTGTGACGCTGGAAGACGAAGCGTATCCTGTGAAGCTGGATGAAGCTGAAGTTCCTGTGACGCTGGAAGAAGAAGCGTATCCTGTGAAGCTGTATTAAGCTGAAGTTCCTGTGACGCTGGAAGAAGAAGCGTATCCTGTGAAGCTGGATAAAGCTGTGAGTCCTTTAGTGGGAAGGGGGTTGCTTGAGTGTGATCCTTTGTTGTTAAAGGATCACGTCGGGTTCACCAATGTTTGTGCCTAACCGAAGTAGACACTTCCGGGTCACACCGCGGGACAAGGGGGTAATGAGCACTTGTCGCTGGCACGGGGACGCTTGATGGCAGGACGATCGCGTCGCGGCAATGGTAACGATGGTTACTGCGATGCCGGACCACAGGCGATGCTGGAGCTGCGCTAAGGGTGAGCTAACGTGGTTAGCTGCTAGTTAAGATAGATAGTTTTACGAGCCCTATTCCCAGATGTAGGAAGTAGAACCTCGGAGTTAAGAGGTGTGTTGATAACTGATTTATTCTTCATTTGATACCTGCTTATATACTATTTGGAACACGGAAGCTTAGTGTAATGATTACTGAAGTAAGCTATAATCTAAAGTAGGTCAGTGAATTATGATTATGGTGCAGTTGGCTCGGCTAACAACTGCAACATGTGCAGACTGCATTGGCGCGTCAGTGTACCGTTGAGTCGGTGAGACGGTGAATTAGTGAGACATATAATATGCTGATCAGCCATTCTCATATACAGTGGGTGCTACTGAGCGCCTGGTACTGTTCCCAACTTGGCTACTGCTCGATTTGTTGGGTGTCGTCATGTTGAGTACCTTTGGGTACGAACAGCCGGCTTAGGTAATTTATGAATGACACTTGAAAAATGAATTAGCGTGAGGGTAACAAAGTACTCAAGACTCTACCGCGCATAGATTCCTATACCCTTCTCTCCTTTATGCTGAAGCAATGTAGAGTGTTTATACAATCCAAATGACCTACCAAAAATCAAATTGCGTTAGACACCCAATGCTTCGCAGAAGTGTAAAAGTATACACTTGTACATAAATAAATGATGATTCGACACAGAAGAGCCGAGCATGCTGCTTCCGTTCACAAGCAAAGGGATTTAAGTTTGGGTGGCTATACATTCCAGACAGGTATCGCTTTCATAACGTTGACAATACATTCTATTTAATATATATACAGAGAAAATTCTAATAATCAGAAATGTAAGTTTCTCTTTTCACTTGGGATTTCTAGGCTTAAAATATTTTTTAGTTGAATTGACGACTAGAAAGCTGACCTTTACAAATGCATTTCAGTATTATAACCCATATTGAAATATATCTAAACAAGTGAGTTAAAAACATCTTAGCCTAGTACTCAACCTACCAAAAAGTTGTTCAAAAGCAAAAACTTTATATAAAAACAAGGAAGAACGCTATAGTCGGTACCTCGACTATCAGATACCCGTTGCTCAGCTAAAGGAACCAAAGGGAAATGGAGTTATTCAAGCAGCAAAGCGAGATTGAAATGCGCCACATACCGGCGGTTTTTTGATCAATCGATAGGTATTGACGAGACCAATACATTTTAGTTAAAATTTTTGATCTAGCATGAAAATTGTGGGCGTCACAGGTTTGGGCGGTTTGTGGGCGTTATGTGTGGCATATTCGCGTAACAAACGTGCGCTGCATACAAGGCTACGAAATCTAAATCTGAGATTTCAATTCTCTATCTTTGATAGTTTCCGAGATATCCACGTTCATATTTACGATTTTTTTAAGTTTGTGGGCGGTTTGTAGGCGTTAGAGTGAGCGTGACAAACTTTTTTTGGGTCAATCGAGAGGTATTGATGAGAACAATATTTTTTATATTTTAATAGAACTATAAACTAAACTTTTTTCTGCAACTTTGCTGTGCTTCAGCAATTCATGCATTGAGGCTGAATTCATAGTCAACATCCGTGTGTTATCAAAATCATGAAACAGTGTTTATGTACACTCGATTTTGTTCATTTTATGAAATGATATAGCATAAACGCAGAAATAGTTTCCGAGATCACAGCGTTTACACGGTAAGACGGACAGCTTGACATGGCTAGATCAACTAGTGGTAGGCTAGTGGTAGCCCTTCAGTTCCAAAAAAAAAGTTTCACTTGTGAATCACCTTGCACAAGTGAAGAACAAGTGACGCTCCATATAGAAAATTCTATGGGATGTCCGGATTTTCACAAGTGAAAATTCAAATGAAAATTTTTCGAGGTCCCACGGGATTTCACTTGTTCCTTATACTAATTTTTCGTATGGCCTGTCACGTGCCGGTGACACTTCCCAAGTGAAATCACTTGTGAAAATCAGATTTTTTCCATGATTTTTTACTTATGAAACCACTTGCAAGTGACACGTCCCAAGTGAAATCACTGGTGAAAATCAGAATTTTTCTCATGAGCTTTTACTTATAGAATTTAAAATACATAAATTTGCATAGACTTTTAAATATATTTTAATTAAATAATGTTATTTAGGTTTTCTGTTAAAGGACAATTATTGTTAATAAGCATAATTTTATGTTACGTTAAATCGCTTTTTACAATGGTCATCGCCGGGTCCTCCGAATCCTTGGCCAACGATCCTGATAAAATGTATGGTCATATGTTTAAAAAATGCGTTTTATTTGTTTATTTGCATATTTACCTTTTAGAGCTGTGTTTCACCCTTTGCAGGATTTTTATTGGCGCAAAACATTTTATCATCCACTTTCGGCTAACGGAACCCATTGAATGCCTTAATACTTTAAAGTAAGATCAATGCACAACATCTTCAACTTAATATAACACTTACCTGACTTTGTTAGTTTCACTTTAAAAACGAAAGAAGTAAATCAATAACTCAAACAGAATGAACCAAGTATTCCTCTCACCCCTTTACGTGATTTCTTTTAATTTCTCTTCGCTGTTGGCGCGTGCCACTGAACCTATACCCTTTCTAAAGCGAAAAATATCCGACTACATAATTTTTACTTTTTGAGTAAAATATACTATTAAAATGTTTTAAATACTTAAATAAATTTTAACGAACTAAATTTCTATAACCTAACTAAAAAATTATATTGTAATATTAATGTATAATACGTAAGCATAACATTAAAAGTAAATTCAATTTACTTAATTTTACTATAATCAAATAATTTACTTTTATAACACAATATTAGTTGTTTTTTTTCGATATACAATAATGCTCCTAAAATATTAGGGCATTCACATGTCGCTGCGCCACGAAAATTTTTCCGCCGAAACATTAGTTGCTAGCCAAACATAACGCAGAGCGCAAAAGAAGTAACGGATTGGCCAAAATTTGTCTCTGAGAGCGCCGAGTGCAGGCAGATTATAAGACAAAGAAAGAGAGGGAAGCTCCGAATATCTGCCTCTCTTTGCTTCACGATTATTTTCGTAGGCAGTCTTCTACGCTGCGCCAACTTCTCTGCTGACGTCAACAGCGGCGCAGCGTTTAAGGCACAAAAAAAAAACAAAAAAGCTTTTTGCCTTGAGCCATGTCACCGCGTCCCTACTGCAGAACTGCAGGGAGTGATCAAAAATATAAATGCTTTATGGGGTCGGAAACGCTTCCAGGGAAAAAGTTTAAATTTAAAGTTGAAATTTAACATTTAGAGAATTTGCTATCAACAGCTTGGGAGCATTTTATGATTCTTATGTTGTAAACTAGTATTATAAAAAGTTCGAGGTCACTTACCGCAGTATGGCCTTGTGGTCATGTATGCATTCCACTAATCGCTCGAATCGCTGCTCCGTGCTCTCCGAAGGATCTGTGCCAAGACGCCGGAGACGCTCCGCAAAGATAGACATATGTGCCCGAAGCACGAGGACGAAGTTAACGGGGTAGCAATCCACACAAACATCTTGAAAACAGGCACCAGCCATGGCGAAGTACTCCAGGCTGGCCTGTAGGGCGAGGTGCAATCTGCTGGATCGCCAGTCCAGGAACGGATAGTAATTTTGGTAAGGAGGCCTTCCAATAAAGATAGCTGAAAGGAACGTATTCGTGGCGTAAACCATGTACACTGCCATGAAAAAAAAAAATATCCGGTTGCTAAGGGAGACAGCGCGGTGAACCTGTAGTCGCTCGCCGGGCTCTGTGAGACGTTTATCCATCTCGTCGAGGATGGCATTAGCCTCGTCAAAGCGTTTGACCAGTGCCCACACAATCAACACCTTGGTGGAGCAGGACCACGCGTTAAACGCCACCTGGAGCGAAGTAAGAAACTCTCCCGGCGAGAACTCCGACAAATGGCTGATGTAGCCCGTGAGAAATCCGATGGGTTGGTAAAATGTGGAACAGAAATTCAGGGCAATGGACCAAAGGACGTAGGCCACGAAGAATTTTGCAGGGGGCTTGCGTACGCCCATCAGGAAGATGCAGCGCAGCAGGTACAGGGTCGCGTCCCGCGAGCGAACTGGGGAGTCCTCCGATTGCGTAAACAGGGCCGGAAAGATTCTTTGCAGCTCCATCGTGATTGCACTCGAACTTAAATTATTGAATTATTGTCTTGGCAGCACAATCCTTTTATATGGCGGCCAGTAGCGTGATTATAAGCTCATCAATCGCCGGCATAGGTAATTTATGAATGACACTTGAAAAATAAATTAGCGTGAGGGTAACAAAGTACTCAAGACTCTACCGCGCATAGATTCCTATACCCTTCTCTCCTTTATGCTGAAGCAATGTAGAGTGTTTATACAATCCAAATGACCTACCAAAAATCAAATTGCGTTAGACACCCAATGCTTCGCAGAAGTGTAAAAGTTTACACTTGTACATAAATAAATGATGATTCGACACCGAAGAACCGAGCGGGCTGCTTCCGTTCACAAGCAAAGGGATTTAAGTTTGGGTGGCTATATATTCCAGACAGGTATCGCTTTCATTACGTTGACATACATTCGACTTAATATATATACAGAGAAAATTCTGATAATCAGTAATGTAAGTTTCTCTTCTCACATAGGATTTCTAGGCTTAAAACATTTTTTTAGTTGAATTGACGACTAGAAAGCAGTCCTTAAAATTTAATAGAATTCATTGTCTTTTTTCATTTTACAAATTCATTTCAGTATTATAACCCATATTGAAATATATCTAAACAACTGTATTAAAAACATCTTAGGCCTAGTACTCAACCTACCAAAAAGTCGTTCAAAAGCAAAAACTTTATATAAAAACAAGGAAGAACGCTACAGTCGGTACCTCGACTATCAGATACCCGTTGCTCAGCTAAAGGAACCAAAGGGAAATTGAGTTATTCAAGCAGCAAAGCGAGATTAAAATGCGCCACCTACCGGCGGTAGACAGATTTAAGCGTTATGGACGTTAGAGTGGGCGTTGATCAATCGATAGGTATTGACGAGACCAATACATTTCAGTTAAAATTTTTTATCTAGCATGAAAATTGTAGGCGCCACAGGTTTGGACAGTTTGCGGGCGTTAGAGTGGGCGTGCCATATTGGCGTAACAAACTTGCGCTACGCAAAAGGATCCGGAATCTAAGTTTGTGATCTTAATTCTCTATCTTTGATAGTTTCCGAGATATCTACGTTCATATGTATTACGTTCAGTTAAGACTTTTATTCTAGCATCAAAACTGTAGGAGCCACAGTTTTGTGGGCGGCTTGTGGGCGTTAGAGTGGGCGTGGCACTCTGCTGAAGCAAACTTGCGCTGCGCAGGAATCTCAGGAACCTGCATGCCTAACAGAGTATTTTAGCTTGTAGAGTTAACGAGATCTCAGCGTTCATACGGACAGACGGACATGGCTAGATCGACTCGGCAAGTGATCCTGATCAAGAATATATATACTTTATGGAATCGGAAACGCTTCCTTCTGCCTGTTACATACTTTCCGACGAATCTAGAATACCCTTTTACTCTACGAGTAACGGGTATAACAAGAAAAGAAATTAACTTCGGCAAGCCGAAGTTTTTATACCCTTGCAGTTATAATTATTAAATTTAATTCGAAATTCTTAAAAATACAAAAAGTGTTATCTCCAATAGTATAAGATAATATGTCAAAAAACACCGAAGCTATAATTTGTTTCGTATTATTTTCTCACCAATTTTCCGTTCATTCCTATTTCACCTTTATGATATAGTCGTCCGATTTTGATAAAATTAAATTCGAAGTTCAGAGTTAATTAAAAAATGTTATTTGCAAGCGTGGGTTATATGGTAAAATACACCAAAGGCATAATTAAAAAAAAAATTCCCTATTATTCGTATGGGAGCTATAAGATTTAGTTGTCCAATCTGGAAAAGTTTCAGCGCGATAGCTTTAAAACTGAGAGACTTGTTTGCGTAGAAACAGACGGACAGAATGACATGGCTAGATTTGGGGTCGAAAACGTCTCCATCACTGCGTTGCAAACTTCTGACAAAGGCATAATATAAGTCAAAACCTTAATAATTAAGGAAAACGCCACATTACACTTTAATTAAACTCTCAAAATAACAAGCTCCCGATCTCTGAGTAATGCCATTGCTCATATATCCTAACTAAAACGACTAAAGATATAGCAGACAAACGCGCAAACCTTACTAAACCTTCATCCAATAACCCACATATAAACAGGTGGATATCGACTATCGAATGGTTCCCGTATGGTGTCTCGGGGACGTGTCTCTGATCCGTGGTGACTCGGTGACGTGGCTGTGGTCCGTACTCCGGGTGATGAGAGGGACGAATTTCCGAAGTCCGCTACTTTCTTAACTGTGGAACAGTGTGTACCTTTAGATGATTATGTTGAGAGGGTAACTATTCTCCTATGCACCTGGCCTTAAGCTCAATAATCGCAAGTAAGTAATATAACAAATTTACGGCAGTGGCCGGAGCTAAGTATATGAGCCAAGTGCTTTTTATTAATTTCAATGCTGAACTGAAACTTACTTAGCTGTATGCGATCTAAGCGTGACCGGCAAGCCGACCGTTTGTCAGAGCAAGCTGCTGACACTTTCAAAAAGAGCATAAATTATCATACTGGGAGCTAATGGACACCAGAAACGTCCCCTAAGGGAGTTTATTGTGAATCAGCATGTAAAGATACTATGGCGATCCATGAATCACCCAAGATTTCTACGGACTATTTGCTACTCCTTAAATTCTATAGCACAATCCAAATCATATGCAGGTAACACCCGCGATTGGAAAAACTCCAGTCACTCAGACTAATCAATTTTAGCCGTATAACCAAGTTTATACAAACCAAGCTGGGGCCGTAGCGTTCCGCAGCGCACCAAGACAGGCGAATATGCAAGAATAGCGAAACCCTTAATCATCCTCTTAAAATGAGAAGAAGACCGTGTATCAAAGACCTAGTCAAGCAGAAATACTATTAACTTGGGCAGATAAGCGAAACTTAAAAATACTCTCGATTCCAGGGATGTAACCCTTGCCTAATCAGATTTCGGAAAAGAATTCCAACTGACTTTCGATGCTTTAAGTTACGCAATAGGTGCAATAGTGGAACAAAATCATAGGCCAATATTGTTTATGCAGGGTCCTTCTTTTAGAAAAGATAACGCTGACTTTAAATAGTATGATGATATGCCTTATTAACTTAGGTTTTACAAAATATACGTACCCTTTTAACTTCGTATCTTCCATGATTTCCTACTCTGACTACTTTATACGGCCCTAAGTACTTTCGTTTCAATTTCAACCCAGAACCATACTGGGTGCGTCTAATTGCTACCAACTCATTGAGCTGGAATTTCTTTTCTACCTTTCTTTTTGCATCAAAAGCTTTCTTGTTTTCCGCTTGGACACTCTAAATGTTCTCCCTTGCTTATTTTCTCAGCTTGTCGCGTTCATCATCTAAATCCGAGATCAAACAATCCTGTATCAATGACTTGAGCTGGACATCTCCTGAGATACGCATATCTAATTCTGTTAGCAGTTTGAACGGAGAAGCGTTGGTACTCCTTGGCCCGTGTTATTTATGATCTGTTGTACCTTATCTACATGCTCCCTGGACTTTCAAGGCGTATTTTGGAGAGCACTGGAACAACTATTTTAGGCATGCGTTCTACTTGTCCTTTTCCCCTTGGTACGCCTGTTGCAATCAGAAAATGGTCTTCTCCCTATCGCAGTACTCCTTGAACAGCTGGGATGTGAATACAGCTCCACGATCTGATACTCTCCTGTTAGGATTTCCGAAGCAAACAGCCTGGCGTTCCAAGAAAGTCACAACTTCTTCAACCGCTGTGCTTCGTGTAGGATACAACCATACGTGCTTGGAAAAGGCATCTACAATCACGAAAATGTGGTTAACACCATCGGACCAACATGATCGACATGGTATGTGAGGAGCGGCTTGTCTCCTTTGCCTGTCGATGTAAGGAGCCCCTTTTGCTTACCGGCACAAGAATGCACTCTACGCAGCTACCAACCACTTGCGCTACTTTCTCTTTTAGCTTCGGAATGTAATACGACTTCTCAGTCAAATCCTGAGTTTTCTTGGACGAGAAGTGTCCTTACTTGTGGCTATTCTGGATAATTTCGGTTTCCATGAGTGAAGGAACCACTAGTATTTCTTTATAACGTACCTTGAACAGAACTTCTTACACTTTGTAGTAGTCTTCATAGCATTTGGTCTCAACGACACTTTTGAACACCTTCGTCCAATCATCTAAGAGCTGTGCTTACCTCCAACGATGAAAGAAACTTTAAGTCAAAGTATAAAATGACACCCTATTCAACGCATGGACATGTCTCATCTTCGAACCTGACCTGTGTTCTATTTCGTAATCGGAATCTTGTAAATACATCGCCCATTTAGATACTCTGATCGGAATCTCTTTTCTCTTCATGGTCATGATAAAAGAGTTACAGTCCGTAATAATTTTAAACTTCTTCCCGAGAACGTACACTTGCCACTTTACCAAGGCTCCAAAAAGTAAAAGTACTTCCAGTTCATAGAAACGATACTTTTCCACGCATGGCTTGGTTACGGCTCATGTATTAAACTGGATGCCACAAGATATCACCGGGATCTCGTTAAAACAAAACGACTCCAAATCAGTACTTGGATGCGTCGGTATGATGCTCTGTGTCAAGTGAATGATTATAGAGTTTCAGAACTGGTCCACTGATCAACGCATCTTTAAGCTTTTCAAATGTTGGTAACTTCTAGTCCTGAAACTCCAATTTTATTTCATTATACAACATGTCGGACAACGGTTTTGCAATTACGGCATATCATTCCACAAACGAAAATACGACGTCAATCCTAAGAATCTTAGTACTCCTTTCTTGTCGCACGGAATCGGAAAATCAGCATCTGCTTGAGTTTTCTTATTACCTGGCTTGATAGTACCGTTATCAACGACATAGCCTAAGAACTTAACTTTGCGGCTCAGCACCTGACATTTACTACAATTTATACGCAACCCATTTCCTTGTGCCACTTGCAAAACTCGCTTCAATTTCTGCACGCCCTCATCCAGATCCATGCTCGAAATGA